ATCTCTCTCTCTGTCTCTCTGTCTCTCGCATTTTCATTCTCTTTCTCTCTTTTTCTCCTTCTCTCTTTTTCTCTTTCTCTCTTTTTCTTTCTCTCTTTTTCTTTCTCTTTTCCCCTCCCCACACCCTCTATCCACACCCTCCCATTACCCATTCTCTGTCTCACTCACACAAACACTTATAAAAACGTAGACACACACACAAACACACACACAAACACACACACACACACACACACACACACATACGCTGATGAAAACACAAACACACGAACACACAACCCCAGCAACCTCTGTAAGAGTCACTCACAAACCCCCGCACGCCTTAGCTCACAGACAGTGACATGACAAGGCACCTTTCCAAGCTGAGACAGAGAGTCTCGCTCCCTCGCTTCGTCCCTTCATCACTCCATCCTTCTCTCTTCCACCCTCCCTCCCTCCCTCCCTCACTCACTCCCTTCCACAGTCTGTCCCCACGCGCGCGGACATACGCGTGCATTGTTGCGCTCGCTCTGCCCAGAGACCACAGAACAGTTCTCACCAGCTCAGCGCTTACTCACACGCGATATTTTCTGGCCATGGTTGGCAAAAGTTTTAAGTGACCGGTCGAGGTGTTTATACATCACCTGTGATCGTACAGGGAACCAGCTCACTTCACGGATTTCTGGTAAGGACTTGGAGAACAAAAGCCGTGCGATGATTTTACAGTATAAGAAAAAGCTTACTTACAATATGCAACAAATTACGCCGTCATTCATACTGGTTTCAATTTGTTTTCTCCAAAGTTCAAAACTGAGTGAAGATATTTTTGAGGTTTTATGGACTTTTTGTTTTGAGCGCTTTGATTAGCTTTATTTTTTGTTGCATATCTTTCAAAAATATTTTTTATTATCTTTGGTTTTTTTTGTTTTGTGACTTTGATCGTAAGTAGAAGTCTTTTAGGTCGCTTTGCTTCTGCGATTTTTCGTTTTCACTTGTTTCTTTTTTGTTTTGTTTGTTCGTTCTCTTTTTCAATGGTTTTTGATGACGCCATATCTTTAACTTTTTCATCAACGAAGTCGGTACTCTTCATTCCCCTTGGTGGGAGGCATTGGTTCTGCACTTGGTCCTATCGTAGAATGACTATTTTGCAAAATAAGTCAATCAGAACGGCACACATGGAGATATAACATCATAGTTTTTTTATTTAGCTTTGTTTTGGGTGTGGACATGGTCGTGTGCTGCTTAAAATTAAAAATTAGAAACCTCACGCTATCGTGTAAATAATAATAACGTTAGTAATGATAGAAACAACAACAATAACAATGATACTAATAACAAATTTGATAATAATAGCAATAGTAATAATACGTTTTTTATTTGTTTTAGTAGAGGTTTTACGGTGCTCGCAACTGCAGAAGGTCATATGCGCGCCAAGGGGTGGATGTTAACACAGAAGTCCTTACAGAGAATCAGATTTACTCTGCTCACCCCTCTAGCTTCAACAGCACAAAGTCTGCTTCGACTATTAAGGCACCGAGGAAATAGCTGGTCACGAGAGTGTGACAAACGTACAAAAAAGTATAGGAAAATAACGATAGTAAGGATTAGGAAAGAAAAAGCAGTTGTTCCATGTTGCAGCTCAAGTAGTTACGAGCATTGCATTGATGAATCAGCCCATTTACAATTACAATACTACAGTGCATAGGAACCCCCTTTTGGGAATGGCCTAAAGACACTTCAGTCAGTTGCACCGCCCCAGTGGGTTATAGTAATAATAAGGATAATGTTAAAAATAGTATATAAAAATAATAATAATGATACTACTACTACTACTACTACTACTACTACTACGT